CACCTAAACCTTTAATCCCAGCACTGGGAGGTGGCGGGGAGGCAGAGTCAGGAGAATCTCAAGTTCAAGGCCAGGCTGAATTACATATGAAGACCTTGTCTAAACAAAACCCTAGGCCGAGGATATAGCTCAGCAGGTAGAGTGCTTGCCTGGCATGCACAAAGTCCTGGGACTGATTCCCAGCACTACCTAAACCAGATTTGGTGGCGTACACCCGTAATCTCAGCATTTAGGAAGTAGAGGCAGGAGGACCAGGTATTCAAGGTCAGCTACACAGAGGCAGCCTGAGTTACATGAGACCTTGTCTCCAAATACCAAATCAGACATGAAAAAATAAAAAGTCAAAACCAAATCAAACCAGATCAACAAAAAGTCCTGCTAATGTTTATTGAGATTGGTATCACAATAGCTCTAAACTCTCCTTTAATCTGTAACACAAACCTTTGTAGTGGGCACAGTTATTGTTCAGGTTTCTTGGTCATGCTGGTCTGGTGGCTGATTTACCTCAGGGCCTATTCATTGAAGCCTTGCTTATGACAGTGGAATGTTCTTTGAAAGATAACTACTAAAGTGCACAATAGCATCTCAGTACAATGAACAACATACCTCCAAACACAAAATTGTGGTTCCTGGAGGCAACAGCTACCTGGAACAGGGTGGGGCTTGCTGCATTCTGTTACTGAAGCCTGCTTTTGGTAATACCTGCTTTCTAGCTCTACTTTAAAACTCAACTCTGAAGCTGGGTGTGGTGGTGCACACCTTTAATCCCAGCACTCAGGAGGTAGAGGCAGGCAGATCTCTGTGAGTTCAAGGCTATCTTGGTCTACATAGATAGCGAGTTCCAGGACTCATCACTGAACTATCAGGGGGTGGTAGCACGTGCCTGTAATCCCAGAGCTCAGACAATGAATGGAGGAGGATCAAGAGTTCAAGGCCAGCATCAGCCACATAGCAAAGTCCAGGTTATTCTATCTCACGAAAACAAAATTAAATGAAATGCATATATGATATGGCTTTTCTTTTTCTTTTTTTTTTTTTGAGACAGTGTCTCCCCTGTAGCCCCAGCTGGCCTGGAACTCACTACGTAGACCAGGCTAGCCTTGAACTCACAGAGATCCATCTGCCTCTACCTCCCGAGTGCTGGGACTAAAGGCATGTACTACCATACCCAGCTGTGATATGGCTTTCTTATGCATAACACTTGGAAATCTAGTTTGTTTCTCCAGTGCTGTGACAAAACACTCTGACTACTACCAACTTGGGGAGGAAAGGGTTTATTCGGCTTATATCTCCCAGGTCACAGTTCATTAGGGAGCCCAAGGTAGGAACTCAAGGCAAGAACCTGGAGGCAGGAGCTGGAGCACAGGCCATGGAGGAACGCTGCTTACTGGCTTGCTCGCCTGGCCCCTGCTCAGTCTATTTTCTTATGTAACACAGGCCCACCTGCCCAGGGGTGGCACCACCCACAGTGGGCTGGGCCCTTCCACATCACACAACAATCAAGAAGATGCCCCACAGACATAGCCACAGGCCAGTCCAATGAAGGTAATTCCCCAATTGAGGCTCTCTCAACCCAGGTGTGTCAAGTTGACACTAAAGCTATCCCGCACAAAAGCTCAAGCTGTAACATAAGGAAAAAAGACAAGTCACAAGTTTTCTTTAGGACCCATGGTGATTTTACTCCTGGAAAATTCAATGCACAGCAAAAATAGTTTTATAAGACATGGGGTCAGAGGCTGGGGTGATAGCTCCATTGGTAAAGTGCTTGCTTTGAAAGCCCGAGGACCTAAATTCAATCCCCAGTACCCACAGAAAAAGTCAGTCAGGCTGGGGGTGGTGGCTGGCACACACCTTAAATGCCAGCACTTGGGAGGCAGAGGCAGGCTGATCTCTGAGTTCAAAGCCAGCCTGGTCTACACAGTGAGTTCCAGGTTAGCTGGGACTACAGGGAGACCCTGTCTCAAAAAGGCCAAAAAAAAAAAAAAAAAAAAAAAAACCAGGCAAAAACCAGGCACATGCCCTTAATCCCAGCACTTCAGAGGCAGAGGCAGGTGGATCTCTGTGAGTTCAAGGCCGGCCTGATCTACATAGCAAGTTCCAGGCCAGCTGCGGCTACAGGGAGACCCTGTCTCAAACAACAGCAGGAACAATAGCCAGGCATGCTGGCATGCACTTGTAATCTCAGTGCTGGGGAGAGGGAGACAGGAGATGCCTGGGGCTCGCTGACCAGTCAGTCTAGCATACTTGGCAGGCTTCCGTGCATACACATGCATACACATGTGCACACACACATGTGTGTGCAACCAAAAAGTGGGGCTGTAAGAGATTTGTCTTCTAGGTCTGATCATTATGAACACATTTCTCATGTACGTGATTGTCTCAAAAAATGGAAAATGAGAGATGTGTTCTTTTTGTTGGAATTTAATGTTGTGTCAGAACTTTCACACCCTCCCAGACACTCCACATCTTCAACCTGCTGTCTGTCAAATTCCAGAGGCCCCAATTTTGGGACAATCAAAACTAGCACAAGCCTCATAAATTTCAAAAAATGTCCCCTAGGGGGCGGTAGCGTTCCTGCTAAAAGTTAACTGTCCAGGACCCTGCTGTTTAACTTTTTCCCCTCCCTTTCTTCCTTTTCTTCCCCCCCTTCCCTTCCCTTCCTCTCTTTATCTCTGTTTCTTTTGTTTGCTAGGGACGGAAGCCAGGACCTTGCATGTTCTAGGCAAGCGCTCCACTACTGAGTCACATTTCCAGTCCAAACTCTACATTTGAGATTGTTCTACAACAGTACATGGATCTCTGGCTCCCTTTCAGGAGTAGGTTGATCATAAGGACATGTCAAGAACTTAGCCTGTTCTCTAGAGTGATACTCAGCTGTTGTAAACAAGGCTTCGATGAAGAAAGCCAACTTTGTGCTGCATTTGTGTGATCAGTTGTCTAAAGGAATTCTTAGAAGTGGCCTTGCTGGGTCAGGGTTTATGCTTTTAGAATGCAGGCCTTTATAAACATCCCCAACTGCCTTGCACAACAACAAAACTCCTAAATCCACGTGTCTCCATCAGGGCAGTGCTCCAAGAGCCAGGGTCAGGGCCAGTTCTGGGAGGTCTTATTCAGGACCCTACACCTCTAGGGAACATGCCTCTAAAGGCCACACCAAGGGTCCCTCAAATGAAGTGTTCAGCAACTCCCAGTCCACCTACTCAGGCCAGAAATGCCTGTCCCCAGCTGGGCTGACCCCAGAAGTTACATTCGTTTGATTAGTAGTGTTGGGGATTGAACCCAGGGCCCTGCACATGCTAAGCCCATGCTCTAACACCGAGTTACACCACAGACTAACATTTACTTTAAATTTCAAAACAAAAACAGCTTTGTGCTTCTTCTGATTCTGTAGGTAATGCCTATGTATTTAGGGAGAAATCTTTCCTTGACCACCGTTTACTTTAAAAACTTCATAAAAGCCGCCAAAGCGTGGTGTGTACACCTTTAATCTCAGCACTTGGGAGGCAGAAGCAGGCATATTTCCAGGCCAGCCTGGTGTACACAGAGTTTCAGACCAGTCAGGGCTAGGCTAGATAGTGTGACCTTGTCTCAAAAATAAACCAAAAATGGGCTGGAGAGATGGCTCAGTGGTTAAGAGCACTGACTGCTCTTGCAGAGGACCCAGGTTCACCACCCACATGGTCCCTAACTTCAGTTCCAAGGGATCCGACGCCCTCTTCTGGCCTCAATGGGCACTGTATGACATGGGTGGTGTACTTACATGCAGACAAAACACTTATACACATAAAATAAAAAATAAAAACAACCATCCCCAAACCAAGCTGGGTATAGTGACACATGCCTTTAATCCCAGAACTCTGAGAGTTCAAAGCCAACCTGGTCTACATAGCAAGCTCCGGGCCAGCCAGAGCTACATAGTGAGACCCTGCCTCAAATCACCAAAATAAATAAATAAATAATAAATAAATAAATAAATAAATAAATAAATAAAATTAACAAACCAAAAACTAAACAGGAAAGAGAAATAACACACGAGGACTTCAGTGGTCTCACCTACAAAACAAGAGAATAATCTCGTGACTGTGAAACTGTTGATAAACCACCAACTTTGAGGTTGAAAGGGGCTTACTGGGGCTGGGTTCCCGTGTCATTTTTGAACTCGGTTTGGGGTTGGACGGGAATGGGAAGAACAGGACTCTATGTGCTCCAAGCTGGCTTCGGACTCTTCCTTTTGGCCACTGGTTGTTTTATTAGCCACCGCTCGCACTTACTCCGCCCCCACAAACTGGAGGTTCTGAGAGGTGGAAAAGCAGCAAGGCCTTTCACCGGGAAAGGTTATGGTTGGCCCCTTGGAATCCACGTGCTAATAGCGGAGGCTGGGCGGCTCCAGCGCCGGTCCTGACCAGTTGGGGTCGGGGGGATGGGGCGGAGAAGGTAGTGACGTGGCTGGGCGGCTCCAGCGCCGGTCCTGACCAGTTGGGGTCGGGGGGATGGGGAGGGGGCGGAGAAGGTAGTGACGCTAAAGCCACGGCCCACTCTGCTTAAAGGAGCAGGATCCCGCGTGCTTGTTCCTGATAAAGCAAATATCACAGTGGTATATTAAATCTTAAAGGCAAGGGGGTCGGCGGGGTGTCAGGGTCCGCGGTGGTGCGGGAGATGAATTCTGGAGGCCAGCCTAGGGCTACATAGTGAGACCCTGTCTCTAAAAAACAGCCCCTTCCCCCCAAAATGGGGGAGCCTAATTCTGCAATAACTCACTTCAAAAAGTTTTGAGCTTTAAAGGAGACAACAGTGTTGAATGTAGATACAAGAAATATGGGGTTCGTCTTCCCCCGTTTCAGTGTGCCCCAGGACTCTGTGACCCAAAGCGGTGCTGTACTTCGTCCACGGCCCGACGCCTGGCTCACGTTACCCCTCATTTAACCCAGCTGCCCTGCGGTTTAAAAAGCGTTTGGGGGTTGCAGCCTGGTTTCGTCATCCTTAACCAAGAATGGCAATTCCTGCCCAAGGTTGTAGAACTCCATGGGAGCGCTCGGCAGGCAGAGGCTGGCCATTAGGTTTCTCTAGTGACCTTGAAGAACCTACTCTTGCGGCCACAGCTTTACAGACCCGAACACCAAGAAGCAATACCCATGCGGTCTGGAAAGTTCCCGAAAGCGCAGGTACTGACTCCGGGCAACGCCGCTCCCGGGCGTGGCCGGGGTGGAGCTTGTGAGAAGAAGCTCGGGCACTGCGGCCATGCAGCAGGGTCACTGCGACCTGCACGCGGCGACCTTGACCTGCAGGCCACCGGGCTGCGGAGAGCGAGCCCCGAAGCGAACCCGCCTACGCGGCCAGGCGCAGGGGGGCGGGACTGGGGTGGAGGCGGGCTTCGAGTGGGCGGTGCCCGCGACACTCCGGGCGTAAGGCCGGTTGGCCTGCGGGGCGGGGCTAGAAGCCGCAAGGGGGCGGGGCCAACCTACTGCTTTCGGAGTCCCGCTGCGGCGCGAGGCGGGCGCGCGCGGACCCTGCACTGGCCGCGGAGCGGCTATGGGCCAGATAGGCCCTTGGCGCGGCGCCCCGCAAGCACGGGCTTAGAGCCAGGTGGGCGGGCCAGGGCTGAGGGCTGACTGCGGATCGAGGTGGGGGTGGGCGTTCTGGGGGTACCTGGGAGCCACAGCCGCGGGCAGTGAGTCTGGCATGGTCGGCCTCACCTGGCGCTGTTTGGCCGGGCTTGGACAGGGGGATGTCGCCGGGGCTCGGAGACAGACCTGATTATCCGTTTCCGTTGAGCCCCGCGACGGATATTTAGCGGAGAGAACGTCTTCCCCATCTAGGCCTCCAGGCCTGCTCCATCTGGCCCGGGCCGGTAGTGTGGCAGAGCGCAGCAGTCCCGAGAGGGAAAATGGACTTTTCTGTGTCACCAGATTTGTTTACACGCTTCCCTTGATCCCGGCTCCACCTCTACTCTGCTGGTGCGCGCATGTGCCCGCCCTGATAGATGCTGGGCGGAGGGGCAAGGCTCAGGTGTTTTCGATCTTTGGATATTCAGGCCCAAACTCGGCCTCTGCGGTTAAGAAGTGCCTAGTAAGCTATGTGCTGTGGCTGAGGACATGGCATTGACCAGCACTGCCGTTGACCAGTGCGTGGCTATTCCAGCCTCTCTCCAAACTACTGAAGTGACCTTGGGGGTCACCCGCCTCCTTAGTTTTCCCCCTTGGCACAGTGAACCCCGCACTAAAAAATTTCCAAGATTTCGGAGGCAAGTGCTGGGTGAGTGGTGAGCAGTGATTAAAGTCCCCAAACTTTGCTGGCTAATGTCTCCAAGTGCCTAGTCAGTGGGTGCCCTCCATTTGACTGAGGTTTGTCTTTTCAGGATTGAAGGTCCAAGATGGATGATCAGGATCCTGGGGGCATTAGCCTCCTTCAACAAATGGTGGCCTCAGGGGCTGGGGCTGTGGTCACCTCTCTCTTTAGTAAGACCTGGGGAGGTGGGATGTATGGGCAGCTGGGGTTTAGGGTGGGCCAGGTTGGAAGGAGGTTGGAAGAAATTTGGTCCTGATGAAGGGGGTTGGAGGAAGAGTGGGGTCCTAAAGGAACCTTCAGTTTTGTCTCCTTCCCTAGTGACACCCCTGGATGTGGTAAAGGTCCGCCTGCAGTCTCAGAGGCCTTCGGTACCCAGCGGTGAGTACCTGAACCTGGAGTCAAAATGAGGGGAACTGCCAGACAAAACAGGGCCTCCCAAAGATGGGGTCCTTCCGGAGTGGGGGAGTGGGGGAGTGGTCCTGACTGCCAGGGCTGCTTTGTGTTTCAGAGCTAACACCTCCCTCAAGATTCTGGAATCTCTCCTATACCAAATGTGAGTACTCTGAACTGTACGAACCTGGGAGGGGCTCAGGGAGGAAGTGTCCTAGTGTCCCCAGAGCACCTGGGGGAGCCCATGTATTTTAGGCCATGTTAGTGAGTCATAAGTCCACATGGTGCCCCAGTCACTACCACCCAGCAAGGTTCTGGGCCTTGCCAACCTAAATGCTCCCCCCTTCTCCAGCACCCTCCACTCTACAATCCCCAGGGAAATGCCTCCTTTACTGCAATGGTGTCTTGGAGCCCCTGTATCTGTGTCCAAATGGTCCTCGCTGTGGTACCTGGTTTCAAGATCCTACCCGCTTCACCGGCACTGTGGTAAGGAGCAGTATCCTGTACCTGAGGGATTTGGGCTGGTTAGGCAGCAGGCCTTGAGAAGGAATGGACAGTGCAGAGGAGGTAGGGATGGACAGTGCAGCTTGGAAAGAGCTTGCCAGGGAGGCAGGGCCTTTGGAAGGTAAGTACTCTGAGGCTGGGAATCAAAACCAAGGCCTTGATACATGCTAAACAAGCACTCTACTACTGAATTGCACCCCCAGCCCTCCCTAAAGGTTTTCACTTATTTATTTTTGGTGGTAATATTGTTTTTGAGACAGGGTCCCCCTGTAGCCCTATCTGGCCTTCTAGAACTCACCATATAGACCAGGCTGGTCTCCATCTCACAGAGATCTGCCAACTTCTGCCTCCCATAAAGTTTTTAAATACTTACTTTTTTTTTGGCCAGACATGGTGGTGCATACTTTTAATCCCAGCACTTAGGAGGCAGAGGCTGACCTGGATCTCACAGAGATCTATATAGTGAGTTCCAGGCCAGCTGGGGCTGCAGGGAGACCCTATCTCAAAAAAGACAAAAAAAAAAAAAGAAAAAAGAAAAAATTTTTTGATTTATTATTTATTTATTTATTCTTAATTTTGAGACAGAGTCTCCCTGTAGCCCCAAGCAGGCCTGGAACTTGCTATGTCAACCAGGCTGGCCTTGAACTCACAGAGATTTGCCTGCCTCTGCCTCCCAGGCACTGGGATTAAAGGCGTGTGCCCCCACACCCAGCAAATAGATTTCTTAGTTTATGTGTATGAGTGTTTTGCCTGCATGTAAGTAAGTGCACGCCTGTTGTGCAAAGCCTGCAGAACCCAGAAGAGGGTGTCAGATCCCCTAAGAACTGGATTTACGGATGGTTGTTAGCTACCATGTGGGTGCTGGGAATGGAACCTGGGTCCTCTGCAAGAGCAGCCAGTGCTCTTAACTGCTAGATATCTCTCCAAGCCTCCCCCCCCCAAGGTTTTGAAGGGTGAATAGGAATCTACCTAGAACTAAATGGGGAGCTGCATGTGTGGCTGCCTCAAGGGGCACTGGCTTTCACCATGACTCAGGGCTGTGTGCAGAGGCTGATCTTGCTCGTGATCTTGCTCATGTTCACCTTCTTCTCCTTTGGATGGTGCCTGCTTCATCAGGATGCCTTTGTGAAAATTGTGAGACATGAGGGTACCAGGACCCTGTGGAGTGGCCTCCCAGCCACCTTGTAAGTACCCTAGTCATGGTGTTTCCTTCCCTTGGCACCTACTGGTCCTTGCTTTCTGGCTTTCTTTTGGCTGGCAGGGTGGGGAAGGGATGCTTGAAAGGTTGGGAGCCCTTAGGAGTCCTATCTGGCCTGTGTTCACACCCCAGAGTGATGACTGTACCAGCCACCGCCATCTACTTCACTGCCTATGACCAGCTCAAGGCCTTCCTATGTGGTCATACCCTGACCTCTGACTTCTACGCACCCATGGTGGCTGGCGCCCTGGCCCGCAGTGAGCACAACCCCCAGCCCTTGATCTCCCTCTGCCCCTCCTGTGTCCCAGACTTGTTATTCCTGGTTCCCTGCCCTAGCCTCTGACAGCTTGGGGGTAGGGGACTCTAAGCCCTCAGACCCTGGGGTGAGAGGTGGGTTCTGACATATAGGATCTGTGACCCAACCTTTTTCCACTATTTTCCCAACCCTCTTCCCTTCAGTGGGCACTGTGACAGTGATCAGCCCCCTAGAGCTTGTGAGGACCAAGCTGCAGGCTCAGCACGTGTCATATCGGGAGCTAGCCACCTGTGTTCAAGCTTCAGTGGCTCAGGGGGGCTGGCGCTCACTGTGGCTCGGCTGGGGTCCCACAGCCCTTCGAGATGTGCCCTTCTCAGGTAGGCACCAGGGGTGCAGGGAGTGGGTAAGGAAGCCCTTGGGTAATGCACAAGGGGTCTGTAGCCAAGTCCCTCCTTCGTTACTCATGTCCCCAAAGTCACATCACTTCTCAGAACCTGAGTTCCTCCTTAGAGTCAGATCCAGCAGGGAGGGGTTTTGCCTTGATTTTCCTGAACTAAGTCCTGAAAAGGACACAGCAGAGAAGCCTGTGCCCAGGAAGGCCTGGCTGTCAGTGGGAAATGAGTTTGGAGCCCCACATCCTGGCCTCCTCTAATGAGTATACCCCACTTCCCAAGCTCTGTATTGGTTCAACTATGAACTGGTGAAGAGCTGGCTGAATGGGCTGAGACCAAAAGACCAGACATCAGTGGGCGTCAGCTTTGTGGCTGGTGGCATCTCAGGAACGGTGAGTTGACGGGGCTGGGAGTAAGGCTACCAGAGGCATCACAGGGACCTGAGTGAGGGTCATTGGAGATGCCCCCAAGAAGGGTCCCCACATAACAGTGTATCAGTGCCTGCCAGGGAGCTCAGTTACTTTCCTAAGCCACCCTAGCTGCCTTGGGCCCTCCCAGGCTGGGAGCCATGGGACTGCTGGGATAGGGATCCTGGGAATCTGAGCCCTGTCTCGGCCTTACCAGGTGGCTGCCACCCTCACACTACCCTTTGATGTGGTGAAGACACAGCGGCAGGTCGCACTGGGAGGTGTGGAGGCTGTAAGAGGTGAGCTGGGGCTAGTGAAGGTGGTCGGCAGGCAGGGGCTCAGACTGGGTCCTACTGAGCTGGGCCTTAAATCTGCAGTGAAGCCTCCAAGAGTTGACTCCACCTGGCTCCTGCTTCAGAGAATCAGGGCTGAATCAGGCACCAAAGGACTCTTTGCAGGTAGGTGCCTGTCTCTGTGCATCTACAGTGTGCATGTGTGCTGCGTACACGGGTGGTACCTTGCCCCCTGACCTTGGTCTGCCCTCCCACCACAGGTTTCCTCCCAAGGATCATCAAGGCTGCTCCTTCGTGTGCCATCATGATCAGCACTTACGAGCTTGGCAAAAGCTTTTTCCAGAGGCTCAACCAGGAACAGCCTCTGAGCCACTGAAAGGCAAGGAGCCACCCAGCATAGTGGGAGCAGGAGACTGAGCCAAGTGCCTTTCCCTCCCAATGCAGTCACCAGGCTGCCGTCACAATTCGATTCCTACTGTTCCTTTTCCCCAGATCACCATTTCCATGTTCAAGACCAAATCTGACAACTGCCCCTTCTTTGTGTTCCCTTTGTGTTTATTGTAGCTTGGCCCAGAAGACTCAAGATCCCAGGGCCAGGTTGTCTGCCCAGCCCTGTCCATTCCCTTTCTAAAGATGATGACTTCTGTGCACTGCTGTGACTGAGGTGTTGGGCAGGGGTGTGGGGAGCGAATTCAGTGGGGCCCAGTCAGGCATGGTGGCGCACACAGGTTTCTCCAACACTCAGGAAACAGAGTCGGGTGGATCTCTGTGAGATTGAGGCCAGCCTGGGCTACATAGTAAGACCCTGTCTCAAATGAGGGTCACGGATTAGCATGGTAGTGAGATCCCTTCACATTGGGCCCACTGTTAGAGTGAGCCAAGAGTCATCTCTCCAAGGGCATACTGAGGTGGCAGCAGTGGAATGGGTTGCCCACTTGCCAGTTCTAGCATGATGAGGGGGCTTACAACTTTGGGCTAAAGCAGAGTTGTGCAGCCCCATCAAGGCACACCCCAGGGATCTCTGCTGGGGGTTGAGCACCTGTTAGAGGGGTCAGTTCCCGGGGTACCTACAGGTCTACAGAAGTCCCCCCCGCCTTGCTCTGGATTATGGCTCACCAGCCCCCACAGGGCACATGCTAGATCTGGCAGCATCACCTTGACTAAGACCCTGGTAACCTGGAACCTTACCCCAGTGTTCAACAGATAAAGCCATCTCAGTCCTGGTTTTTATTTTTCTCATCTCCCTCCTGATTCCCCCACACAGGAGCCAAGGAAGGGTGACTTCAGAGGGTACATGAGGACAGACCAGAGGGGCAGGGCAGCGGGATTGCCAGGGCTAGACCATTTGCTCCTGAGGCAGGTGTGGGAGATGAGCAAAGGAAAGTCCAGAGGAGTCCAGGCAGGCTTCAAGGTCATTAGCTTCCCGAGGGTGGCTATCTGTGGCTTTGGTGCCCCTGCCTTCTGGCCCCACCATGTCACAACTCCTGCCTCCTCGGGCAGGAGGCTAAAGCAGGAAAGTGGCAAGGGTTGTCTTCCCCCAGAGACCCATGGCTAGGTGGGCAGCATTCTTGAAGGGTGCCTGACTTGGGGGACTCAAAGGTGGCAGGTGTCCATGGCCCCTGGCGGGTGGGGCTGGCGCTGCCCACACCACTCCTCAGCTGGGGCTAAGTGCTGGGCTGCCCTCGGGGCTGTCGCTCACCAGGCATTCGTTGGATTTGAAGCTCGCCAGGGACTTGCAGCTGGGGATGGAGGCCAGAGAGCCGCAGAGGCCCAGCATGGAGGGCGTGGGGTCCTTCCCTGGGGAGAGAGGGCGGGTGAGGCCATGCCAACCAGGTTGCATGCGTGTGTTGGGAGGTGTTTGTGGGTGGGCAGTAAAGACATCCCCAGGACACTTGGCCTTTTCTGGAGTACTTGCCATTTTAAATTAAATCTTGATTGGGCACCCCCTTGCATGGGGCTTGGAACACTGTATCATAATCATCAGTTTATGTCTCTGTCTCCCCCTGAGGTTTAGCCTCTCTCTGTCCATTTATTTAACACACAGTGAGCATTTGCTCCCTTTCAAGCTCTGGGGATACAGAGAATGGACAAGACGTGGTTCCCTGCCCTCTCGGAGCTCACAGTCTGGTGGGGGAGACAGACACACAGTCACAAACAGTGTGGTGGGTTACATGTCCACAGCCTGCCTTGTCTCAAAGATCAAGAGTTAATCCAATACAGTGTGGTTATAAAAAGGATGGGAGGTCCAGGCATGGGGAAAACTGGGAAGGGAGAAACCAAGATGGAGCCAGGGATGAGGTCAACATAAAATGCATGCGTTGAAGTCCTGGGCATTCACTCGGAGGGAGCCACTAATTTGGTTCTGAGCTTCCTGGCAGCCAAAGAAAAGGGGGGGAGGGTGAAATATTGGTCAGGCAGACAGTTCACAGTGTGCATGTGATAAGAGCAAATTAGGCTGAGGATTTCCCCAAGTATGAGCCCTGTAAAGATATCATAAAACCAAAAAGCCATTGACCCCTCATACATGGACACTGGGGATGGTTTTTTTGTAACATCCCTGTTTTACAGATGGGAATTGGGTTCAGCAAGATAAAGACAATGGCCAAGCTCACAGCTAGAGAAGCCACAATTGTACCTGCTTCTCCAAGGTCTGACCATAGGCTCCGAGGCCTTGCTCCAGCCCTTCCCTAAGGGGTGCTCAGTTGGGGGGGTGCTCACCGATGGGGCCCCAGGGCTCCTCATCCCGTTTGCCCTCTCCCAGGCGCTGGGAGTCAGAGCTCAGACTGGCCTCTGCTGACAGTGGCTCCGTACTCATGAAGCTGTGTCTGTGGTAGATCAGAAAGATGTACAAGCAGGGGATGTTCAGCCCCAGGCCCTGCTTCCTGGGGGAGGAGGGGATGGGGGACAAGCACTTGAGCAAGGGCTTACCTCCGGTACAGTTTGGAGTTGCTGGCACCCTCGGCCCCGTTGAGTGTGCCCAGGGAGGGCCACTGATTGACCAGGGGTGTGGTGAGCTCCTTGGAACCCTGGGCCAGGGGGGCATGGTCACCAGGGATCAGACCTGTCCTGGGAGGGGGAGGGGTGTCAGGCCTGGCTGAGAGGAGACTCAGCAAAGGTGTGGTGGGGGGCAGGGGTTAGAAAGGAAACCCGAGTAGCCAAAATGGGGTTATATGATAATCAGGCATGGTGGGCCATGTTTGGAATCCCAGCATTAGGATGCTCAGACAAGAGGATCACAAGTCTGAGGTCAGCTACACAGACTGTTTCAAAGGTATGGGTGGGTAACAGTTGGATCCTGAAGGGGTATAGCGATGGCCTGGGGGCAGAGGGGTGGCAGGGATTCATGCATTTGAGTTCAGAGTTGGAGTAATGGTATTTAGAAGTCCCTTGGGATGATGTAGAGAGGACTGTGAGGACATGAGAACTTTGGGGGGTGGGTTGTGCAGGCTAGGTCATGTTTAAGGAAGCAATGCTCTAGGGACCAGAAGGGGTGAGGTTGGGGGTCACTGAGTGATATAGGTAGATTCCAGGCATGAACCACAGTGGTAGTGGTGTAATCAAGCTGGAGGCTGCAGAGTACTATCAGAGGTCCTGTAAATAAAGGGGTCCTGCCGTAATGGCTGGTGGCCTCTCTAGCTGATGGGGGATTGAAGCTGATGGAGGCTCTGGAGTTTTATTTTTGAGGTTAACGTTCGGCAACCGCAGGATCTTAGGGTAGAGGTGACGGAATGGGTGGGCTGATGCTGGCGAACTGGATGCTGGTGTCAGGAAAGTGATGCTAGTCAAAGGAGTGATGTTGGGGTTCCCCGGGGTCAGGGGTCAGGGCAGGCGGCAGGCTCACAGCTGCTCCTGCAGCTCCAGGATCACGCCTTCCAGCTCCCGCTTCTCGCGCTGATTCTGCGCCGCCGCCTCCTCCAGCTGCAGCTGCAGCCGCCGGTTCTCCGCCTCCAGGTCCTTCAGCTGCGATTCGCGCAGACGCACCAGCTCCTCCAAGTAGCCCTGTGGGACGCCGGCTCAGCCCGGGTAGCAGAAGGGTTCCTAACCGGAGTCCTGGCCCGACAGACCCTGCCCCCCACCGCACCCAACACCCCACGCACCTTCTGCGCATAGACGATGCGGAACTTTTGCTCCATCTTGTGCCACTTGCTGTACCAGCTGTCCTCGTCGGTGACGAGAGGCAGGTAGGGATGCTCTGGCGAGTTGTCCTCGCTCGTGCTACTCTCCGCACTGTGCCGCTCCTCCTCGTCAGTCAGATAGTCGTAGCTTAGGAACAGAAGCAGTGGATGGAGCCTGCCCCGCCCCACCCGCATCCCAAAGCCATCCCTCCCTTCATGATTCCGGACCAAACTCTATGCCCTTCCGGTGCCCATCTCCGTTCCCACTGCAATAACCCAGCTGCTCACCTCTGGGTGAACTTTAGGTAGGGTGTGTAATCGATGACCACGGGGGTCTTCCCGTCCAGAACTTCGCCCTTTAGACAGAAGCTGGGGCAGAAGAGCCACAGGGATGGGGGAGGGGATGAGGGGCGTTGGACAGTGGTGGGGGAAACAGTCCCCTTCTCCATCGCCATGCACACCCCACCTGAAGTCAATGGCGCTCAGTCCGATCAGCATCCCCGTGAGGACAGTAGCTTCCTCCCGCAGCATGATGGCTCCAGAGTCATAGAACCGCCTTTTGGGGAGAGGAGAGCAGTGACTCCCAAGGGGCCTGTGTTCCCATGACTCCTCTGCTTGCCACTCAAGGGGTTCTTATCTACCCCCTTGGACTGTCACTCATTGGGCCTAGGGCCTGACCTCCCCTCTCCCCCATCTATTAGAAGACACTCTGTTCTCTGAGCTACCCTTTCCCCAACAAACACTGGGTCACCCCAATCCTTTGAATCAGGAAACAAGTCTGTCAGTGTTTGGCAGACATACAATAAGTCTCCAAAAGACAATTTACTTTGAAATGTGGAGACTAGGTAGGGCTAAAATATACTAAAAACATCAGATTGGGTATGGTGGAGGGCACCCCCCCCCCCGAAAAAAGCTTCCCACACAGGCACATTCTCCCTTGTGATCGCCCATCCTAGGGATCCAACTTCTCTGCAAACCCCAGTCCAGGCGCTGAGGCTCTGGACACTGGAACTCTGTTCTTGGGACGAAAGAACAAAACTACTGTCATTGTTTGGAGAGCTGGCAGGGCTGTGTCTTGTAGGCCATGGCATAAGCCAAGTAAAATGGTACATGGTTGAAGCTTTCTCAAAGGTGTGTCCACAGTAGAGCTGTGCATGATGGGACTGATGCTGGCAATGACTGCCCATGATGAACACTAAATTTTATTTTTATTTTATGTGTAAGTGTGTATTGCCTGCATGTAGGTAAATGCACCCGTGTCGTACAATGCCCTCAGAGGACAGAAGAAGCCGTCCAATCACCTGGGACTGGAGTTACGGACAGTTGTTAGCTGCCATCTGGGTGCTGGGATTCAAACCCAGGTCTTCTGCAAAAACAACCAGTATTCTTAACCACTGAGCCATCTCTCCAGCCCCAATGAACACTAAATTTTTGTTGGAAGTAGTAGTGGTCCTGAATAGTATATTACAGCCTGCAGGTCTAGCTAACACATGGTTTGGAAGAAGCAATTAGCAGTGCATGCTGGGACTGTTGTAGTCCAGGTACTGAAGGTTGCTGCAGGAATTTAAGGCTTAGACAGTGAACTAGCATACTGCTTCCTGAAAGGTCTGACCTGGTAGTCCTGTTGTCCCGAAGAGCTGTGGTGATGTACTCTGACATACGCTTCTCCATCAGTGCCACCCGGATCCATGCCCGGCCCTGAAAAGCACGCTCACCATTACTTATCCCAGAGAGATTCATGTGTCCAGCAACAGATATGGTCCTTCTGCCCAATGCTGTGGGTAAGGGGTAAGGACCAAGGGGCAGACAGGGACCTTGTGTCCAGAGCAGGGGTCAGGTGTGCTGACACCACCTCCCCCCGCCCCCCCCAAGCCCCTCACCTTGGCTCGGGCTGTGCTGATGTTCTCCATGTTCTCAATGCTGCTCACACAGTTGTTGGGCACTTTGCTGCAGGCCAGCCGGATATAGTCCCAGAAGCCCCGCTGCCCATCTGAGCTGAACCAGCTCACTGGACCTGCTGGGGCACAGGCTGAGCCAGGGCAGGGAGGGGACTCAGCAAGACCAGGGAGCTTGGAAAGGGGCCATGTCATAAACTATTCACATGCATAAGCATAAGCCACCACGCACACATGTGCTGCCCTCCCCCTCACCAGTATAAGCAATGGGCATGCCCCACAGAACTGCATGTCCAATGATGGAGCTGTAGGCAGATGTCCCACAATCTTTCCAGCACTGTTTTAGTTTTCATGCAGGGCCCATGATGGGGTCCTTGGTCAGTGATGGGGTTCAGAAATCCATACAGGATATTAGAGGAGAGGGGCTGGAATTGGAAGGAATTCATGATGAGGGGCAGGGACTTAGGCATACCTTTAAAACGGTGGCTGAGGATCTGCTCCAAAATGGCTGCGAAATTAACAAACTCTTCAGATGAGTCATCAATAGGCTCTGCTGTGTACTTCTCCAGCAGGGTTTTTACAGAGAACCTGGGTCAGGAGTAGGGAGATGGGGCAGTGCGGGCTCAGACACTGCGGTAGAGGAAGGGTGTCAAGCAGAAAGGAAGTGATGGGCAGGGAAGAGGTCATGAAGGGCCCAGATGTGGGGTGGGGAGGCAGGTGGGACTAGAGTAACCACAGAGATACACATTAGGTGGAATGGGAGGGTAGGAGGTATGGGCAGGGTGACAGGTAGGAGACTGACAAAATGAGCAGAGAGGTGACAGCCAGAGAAAGGGAACTTTGGGGATACAGTGTGAGAGGAGATGAAACAATATGTAGAAAGATGAGGCAGCAAGTACCAGGGGACCACCTCCAGTCCCTGGACCACCCTTCCAAGTTGCATTTTCCATATGTGTGAGTTGGGGGTCAACCAGGAGTCAAGCCAGTTTAACTCCTGCCCTGAGCAGCCTTCCACCATTGCTGGAGCAACCTTTCATCTCTCTGAGGAAGCGGGGGGGGTCATCTGTACCAAGGCATGTGAGCTGCCGCCATGCACATAGGATATGAGTATGCATGGGTGGCCAGGTGGGCACAAAGCTCCAGGACATCCCTCTTCCCCCCTTCTCCTTCTCAGCTCTGCCACCCACACACCAGCTGCCCAGAGAGCCAGGCAGTGCAGAGCTGGCTTGAGGTTTGTGGGTGGGTGCAGGGTGTGGGTCTGACACACACTGGGTGGGAGGGGGTACTGGCATAGCTTCCTGGAAGGAATCTGGGGACTCAGACACTGGCTTCTCAGGGAGGAAGGTAGCCAAAGGAGGCAAGTGGTGCCAGGGGGTTAGAGTCAAGCAGCTCCCCATCGATCTCTCCAACACTACTCAAGCCTCCTGCTCCCTCTGCAGTCCCTACCCTGCAGTTTTCATTTGCCATGCTTGCAGTGGAGTGAAGCAGGGGGAGTATTCGCAGCTCCTGACATCTCATTATTGCCCTGCTTCTGCGGGCAGTGCAGGAGCAGGGTGTCCAGGGATATGGGAGGTATTGGATCTGGAATTATGTTTTGCATAAGCCAATTCACCCATTCTCACCACAGCCCTGGAAGGTAAGTATTCTTATGATGACCACCATCCCCATTTTACAGATAAGACTAAGGGCTCAAGAGGGGAACAGATCAGGGGCTAGAGAGACGACTCAGTAGTTAAGAACACTGGCTGCTCTTGCAGAGGACCTAGGTTTGGTTCCCAGCACCCACATGGTGGCAAACAATCGTCTGCAACTCCAGTTCCAGGGGATCCAATGCCCTCTTCTGACCCCCTTGGGCATTTCATGACACAGGTACATTTACATACATGCAGGCAATACACTAATACACATAAAATAAAAATAATTTTTTAAAAATGGGGACAGATCAGAGTCATGTAGCTTGGGAGGAGGCAAGCAGGTGCACCCCATTCTACATCCCTTGCTCTTTCTCTCTTGTAGTTTCCTGGTAGCTGTCACAATTACTGAGGCTCATGCTAGTGAATAGGCTCAGTGGCTAAAGGTGCTTGCCACTAGGCCCAAAGACCTGAGTTCAATCCCCAGAATACCCACTTGGTAGAAAGAGAGAACTGATTTCCACAATTGTCCTCTGACTTCCACACTCATGTCCTGGTGCGTGCACGCGCGTGCACACACACACACACACACACACACACACACACACACGTAATTTTAAAACATTTTTGTTTACTCTGAGTAGCCACAGCCTTCTCTGCCCTCTGTCCTCTGCCTTAAAAGTCCCCAGCCCTGGAGCATCAGCCACTAAGGCTCCAAGGCCAATGGCACAACTGAGTCCACATCCCCACCTTCCCATTGGGCTTATAGTAGGTTGGCCCTAAGGCCAGATAGGTCAATGTGGGACTACACTAGAGGAAGAAAGCCTGCTGGATCCAAAGCCTGTTTCCTTGGGTGCAAACATGAATTCAGCTTTGGTTCAGATCACAGGCAAGGATGAGAAAAAGTGAGCTGGACACAGGTGGTGAGCAGCCGAGGCCAGGCCTGCCAGGAGGGAGCCTGTGGTTAGGCCATTATCTGAGCTTTGTTATGCACACCTTCAACTTGTGGTCATCTGGGTCAGACTTCAGTGGAGGCCTGGGGCTGGGTCAGCATGGCAGCCATTTGCCATCTCTCCTTGAGGAAACTGACAGCCGGTCAGAGCCTGTGGGAACCCCATGTTGTGCTCCTGGTTAGGAGGTACAGTGGCTGCTGAAAGTTACCATGGAGACAGGGAGGCCAGGGCCCAGGGGAGCTGCCGGCCTGCTAAAGGGAGCTGCTCTGGGAGCCGGAGGCAAACCATGTGACCGTCATGAGGTAGTAGGGGCCCCTGGAGTTTCAGGGCCTTTGTCATGTCCTCAAATCCCCCCAGACTATCCCTTGGTCCCCGCTCTGAGCTACCTCCAATCTACTTGAACTTCTCTTTCTCTAGTCTAAGCCTAGGAGGCTCCCTCCTCTTCCCACACACTCTAGAGCCCCAGCTATCCTGGCAGACAAGCCAAGAGAGGGGCAAGAAGGGTGTCATCAAGACAGGGCAGTTTCTGAGTGTCAGGAGTAGCTAGTATCTTATGTGGTACACCATGGCCCATTCTTTGATATGGCTTTTACATCTAAGATGGGCATGATAGGGCACCTAAGGCCTAGAGTACTTAGGAGACTGCTCAGAGGTTACACAGCTGATAACTGAAATAAAAAGCTTGATTATGTGGTCCCAGAAGTAGAAATCTCTTGCCACCTCACCAGGAGACTTTGGGGAATGAGGGCAGAGACAGTGGCTGCGCTTTGGCCTAGAGCTTTGCCACACTCATTCCTTCCACATAACCCAGGCTCCTTTGTAGAAGGCTGATGTGCACAGCACTTTCACAACACTGGGGAATGGATGCCCTGAGACAGAGGCAGCATGGCTGGTTATGTGCCCAGGAAACCAAAAGAGCTCTGAGTGCCATAAGACTGGGCATCAAGTGGGCACTGATTCCTGGGAGGAGGAGCAAGGTCTGTGTGCAAATGGGACTGGCAAGGAAGGACAACTCAGCCCTGCATTCAGGAGCACCGTGCCTTAAGAGGACAGCACCTGGTGGACATGGGGGCAGAAAGGCTGCAATTAGAGAAGTCAGCTGGCATGAATATCCCTTGGGAGAAGGCCTACACTCAGCTGGTGGCTTCCTGGCTTCAGGACAGAGTCAGTCACTGCAGGGTTTGGGGTGGGAAGGATCACTTCCTGGGGCCTAAGAAAGCTGTGAATTTTCCCAGCCTTGAGACAGCCCCCCCCAGGGACTTATATTTCTGGGCTCCCAGTCTCTACTTGAACCCAGGGGCCCAGGCTTCTACAGCTAGGCCCTGGGTGCTTCCTTAGGTGAGGCAGCGCCCTCAGTCTTCACTGGATGGGTTCAGGGGTTTTGCCCATGTGCCCAGTTGATCCTGCCACAAGGAGCAGCTGCCTAGAGTAGGGAAGGACACCATCCTTGTTTCCTGGAGGGTTGAGTATAGGAAAGTCTCCCAGGGAAGCCCCACCCCAAGAGGCCTGACAGGAGTAGCAGTGAGGGGATTTGGAGGACATCTACCTCACCCTCTGCCTACCCTGCCCCCACTTCCACGAAGGGAGGCAGCTGTCCTCCCCTCCTCCCTCACACACAATGTCACTTCCTGGTTCTCACAGGAAGCTGCAGTACCAATTAAATACCCCTCATCCCCCAGGCCCCAGACCCGGCATAGGCCTGGCTTAGCCTAGAAGGATAACGACCAGATTCGAGCTGCCTGTCGGTTCTAGGCCTGGGAGAGACAAGTGGGCACAGTCCTTCTAACCCTTGCTCCCCTGCCTTTTTGCGGCGACTACTGGGCATCCCCCAGGGCACGCTCAACCCTTGGTTTCAAGCCGCAGCCCGCCCTAACCCCTGTCCCTGACCACCCCACCCCCGACCGCCAGCTTTGCCCACCTGCACACGGTGATCAGGTTCCTGCGCTCCACGATCACGTTGCGGGAAGATGCTTTCTTGGAGGGCAGCCCCAGAGCCATGGTGGTCTGGACAAAGCTCGCTTCCATCCAGATGTGCGGCCACTGCTGCCGCCACCAGCTGCCCCCCACCCCGCCCGACGCCCCGGCCCCCTCGCAGGATCACGGCTGGACCCTCTGCCCGCCGGGGCCCTTCGACCTCTTCACTGCCATCCCTCGGCCTCGGCGCCGGGTCCCCAGCCCCTTCGCTCCCTCCCCGGGCAGCGGCAACGATTCGGGAGCAAACGAGGCCTGGGAGGGAGCTCTCCGAGGTGCTGAGCCGGGGCTCGTCACCCCCTCCCCCAACCGCCCGCCCCCCTTGGCGGGTGACGTCAGGACCATCGGGCCCCGCCCCTCGGCAGCCCAGGCCCAATCCGCAGAGGGCTCAGAGTTTGGGGGAGGGGAAGGACTGAGGCCCCAGAGAGAGCCGATGGGGTCCCCCGGCGAGGCCTTGATTGCGAAGAGAAGGGCCTCCACCCCCACGCTCAAGGCGGGTGACTCCTGCCTGGCATCTCAGATCTGACGCCTCTGCCTTGTTTCTGACCTGGAATCGGTGCTGTCTATCTCTAATCTTTGCTTGTAGGAGGTCCTTAACTCCGGCATCCTTAACTTCACCCATTCAGCCCAGGCATCTCAGCTAGGCCTGGGGTGTGTTCAGAGAGCGCTAACCCTGAGGCAGCGGACAGTCAGAGAGACTGCACGTCCGTCCGTTTGTCCGTCTGTCTGTCTCTGCGGGGGGCTAGATTTGTCTGCAATACCCAAGCAAACCAATCCCTGCTGGGTCACAGGATGGGAATCCAGCATAAACTATCCGAGCCCAGAGCCTGGAACCACTCAAGACAGGGATTTGGGAGTACTAGCAGTTAATCGCTGTGGACTCTGTGGCAGTTCCCAACAGTACCCACCTCAATGACCAGTTAACTTTTTGACTGCTGGCATTGCTACATCAACGCTTGGAAGGATCCTTCAGAATTGGTTAGCTTTTCAGTGGGGTTGGGGAGAGTAGAGGGTGGGGGGTGGGGAGGGATGGAGACACACGACTGGATTGCAGACATAGTCTGGTTTCTCTGCCCTTGGTTTCTGTTCTGCTCTTCACATCTCTGCTCCCGTCTGCTCCTTCCCTGTTAAACCTGTTCCAGGATTTAAACATTGCCCACATTGGTTGGGTTGCTTCTGTTGCTGTTGTGTTAAGCCTTCTCTATTTAATATGGATATCGATGTTTTATCAGAGCTATGGTTTGCAAATATTTTCTGCCATTCTGTGGGTTGACTTTTTAAAACCGTTGATTTATTTTTTATTTTTTATTTTTTGAGACAGGATTTCTCCTGTAGCCCCAACTGGCCTAGAATTCACTATGAGGCTGGCCTCAACCTCCCTGAGCTTTGCCTCCCTCAGCCTCCCAAATGCTGGGTTTAAAGGCATGCAACACCACATCTGACAATACTGTCATTTGGTGCTCAAAAAAAAATTTAAATTTTCATGAAGTCCAATTTGTCTTGTTTTTTTTTTTTTTCTTCTTTTCTTTTCTTTTCATTTGTTTGCCTGTGTCTTTGGTGTCAAACCTGAGATGCTATTGCTTTTGTGTATTTTAAGACAGGGTCTCATGTAGCCTAGGCTGGTTCTGGAATTTGCTATGCAGACAAGGATGACTTGAACTCCTGATCCTCCTGCCTTTACCATTCCTGGTTGCCTTTTTTCTTATTATTTATTCAGTGCTGGTAATCGAACCCAGGGCCTTTGTGCATGCTAGGCAAGTGCTGTACCACTGAGCTACATCCCCAGATACCCTATGTTTTCTTCTAAAAAATTTTAAATTTCACTCGTAGCTGTATGTTCCATTTTAAGTTAATTTTGGATATAGTGTCAGGTAAAGTTAATTTCATTCTTTTTTTACAGAAAACATTTTATTTATTATTTTTATTTTATGTGTATGAGTATATTGCTTGCATGTGTGTAAATGCACCCATGTCATGAAATGTCCAAGAAAGTCAATATTGGATTCCCCTGGAACTGGAGTTAAGAATGGTTGTTAGCTGCCATGTGAGTACTGGGAATTGAACCCTGGTCCTCTGCAAGAGCAGCCAGTGCTCTTAACCACTGAACCATCTCTCTACCCCTAATTTCATTCTTTTGCATGTGAATATCTGATTTTCCAAGCACCATTTATTTATT